CCCGATCCGAATCCGAAATATAGGCGATATTAGTTTCGCCTAACATTTAAATTTCCGATATTTCCGATATTTCTGTAATTGCCCAAAATATGACCTTAATTCGAAATTGTCCGAATTGTCCGAAACGATATTAAGCACGTGAATCAAATCTGACCAATAGAATTCACACATACGTTATCAACGATAATCTGTGCTCTGCATATTGCGTCAGTGTATATCGGTTAGATCAAGAGTTATGCATGCGGAGTTTATTTCAGTTACCATATTAGTAATTATAGTTATAAAAGAGAAGGAATTGATAGTAAATCGATTCTTTTTCTCAATGAATGAATAAAATATAAACCTCGTGTTGAGCATAAGTAGTGGTGCCGAAATGAAAGTAGTGTTGAACGAGGAATGTATCGAAGTAAGGGTGTGAGGATGTTAGTATCAAAGTGAAGGAGCATATCAAAGAAGTGAGAATGTTAGTAACGAAGTGAAGAATTGGAAGAATTGAGGAGAAATGATGTAGTAAAATATAAAATAAAGTAAAAATCTTATCTTGAAAAAATAAGTAACTTGACCCTGAACTAAATTTCATGCAAATACTGACTATTTATTTGTGCGTTAAGTTTAAAGAATCAGAAATAAAGCCTACGCATTCGAGTATGTAATTGAATGGATTCCCATTTGATAGAAGATTTTGTTCTATATTTTCCGTAACCTGCATCGGTATATGGGAAATTTATTATGGTAATTAGATGAACTACCTAACATCGTTACACTCAAGATTTTAAACTGTTCTAAAGAAATCATTTTTAGCTGATAATGGAAGTCTTTAAGAACGAATTCAAGATCATACCTGGTATATTAAATTAAATTTCTTTTAGATATTAAAGTGAATTATCTGATATTTATTAAACTGGAAACATTCGTGCTAACTTTAGTTTATAATATCCTGTTAGTGAAATGATTAAACTTTTCAAATTCAGAACCGGTAGATTTGAATTTGCTCTGGGACCCCAAGTGCTATATTGAACTGGTTGAATTGATGCATGAATCCCGATCCAAACAAGAACGCCTTATTACGTAATACATTTTTTTTAGAACAATCAAATTTATGATGTATACATACCTTAAATAGTTCTGCTATCAAAGGGTGAAAAATATATCACTATATTCAGAAATCAGTCGTGAGCTAATGCTAATTAAATCATATCTTCAAATCATGTATATGATGTATACATACCGTAAACGGTTCTACAATCAGGGTAAAAATGGCTATTTGCACATGTATGATATCATCATTATCACTTATTTTAAAAGGAACGCTAATATGATTAAACTTCAAAAATACACTGAACTGAAATTTGAATTAGTGTTAGTTCATGATGCAAAATGGCCGAAAATTCTGATAATGATATGGTTCCTCCTATTGTTTCATCTAATACTCCTACATCAAAAACAAGTGGAAAACCAAAATCTATCGTATGGGAAGATCATATTAAGCAAGGAAAGCAAATTTCCAAGGGACATTGGAATGCAACATGCAATTATTGTAACCAATTTTGGTACAAAGGTTTTCCTGCTGCTCTCGAAGACCACTTAGGTAATTTATGTAATAACGTGCCACTGGATGTTCGTGACCTATTTTTAAACTGGTTAGCAGCAAAGGCACTTGAAGTTGATATATCAAAATCAAAGAAACGAAAACTTGGCAATCAGTCAAATCAAGCACAACTTTCAGATTTTATCGAAAGTACAAAATTGACGCCAGAACATATTAAAGATATAAACAGAGCATTGGTGAAAGCTTTTGTTGTTTGTGGAATCCCATTTCACATTATTGAGAACCCGTTTTTTATTGAATTATTAAAAACATTACGTCCGGTATATGAATCTCTGTCTAAAGATGTCCTTTCTGGTCGTTACTTGGCACAAGAAACAGCGTTTGCTAATCAGGCGGTTATTAAGAAATTAAATAGTTCAAAAAATCTAACTATAGGTAATAAATATACAATTATTTATTTATAATTATTATGGCTAATGCTAAAGCTTTTAACTAAAAGCTTTTTATTTATTAGCGTGTGATGGTTGAAGCAATCCTTCTAACAATTCTATTTGGAACTTCGTTGTATATACTCCGGATCGTTGTCAATATCTGTGGTGTCTTCGAAATTTGTCTAATGAAAGACATACCCAGGAACTTTTAGCAGAAGAAATTACCAATGTTTTAGAAAAAATTGGACCTAAAAAATTCTCGGCTATCGTAACGGATTCAGGTGCTAATATTAAAGCTGCGCGCCATATCATTGCAGAACAATACCCGAACATTTTGAATTTTCGATGTATTTCGCATGCTGTTAACCTTATTTCAAGGGATATTTGTAAAACTCCATTTGCAAACCGCATGCTTACACGCTGTAATACTGTGGTTAGCTATTTTAAACGAAACCACCTTGCAGGTCTGTTAATTAAAATATTTTTTATTATTAATAAAATGATTAAATATATTATTAAAATAGTTTAATTATAGGAAACACACTTAAAATTCTAGCTGAAGAAAATTTGGTTGAAGGAGGAGGACTTAAGCGGTGGCTAGATACCCATTGGCATACTATGTACGATTGTGTATTTTCGATTATAAGACATAAAGTACCTCTAGAAATAGTAAGTTGAACAATACAATAATATAATACTTTTTTTTGTTAAAATTTTAATTTAATAATTTATAATTTTAGATTCGTAATAGTGATAATGTAAATGTTTCAGTGCAATCAATACTATGCACAAGAGTATTTTTTGATGATTTAAATGCATTAGCATTTGTACTTCGCCCTATTAAGCTAGCTATATCAATTCTTGAATCACAAAATTGTTCACTAGCCGACTGCTTTGTTGGTCTAGTTCATTTGGGAGCAGCAATTAGGAGACTTCCGAAGAATGATTATCATAGTTTTCGTCAACAAGCAATTACAATTTTTAATAGAAGATTTGCAGAGTTTGACGACGATGCATATATTTTATGCTTTTTTTTACATTCTGGATATACTGGTAAATTATTTATTTTAAATTTAATTCTGATTTACATTTTACTAAATTTTATCTTAATACAGATATATGGGCAAGAGGAA